CCCAACCCATCCTGTGATTCTATGAAAACCCACGTGAGGCATCATGGCCCTGCTTACACTGCTGGCTCTGGGAACATTTCTTTCCAGCAGCCTTGAAGCCATCGTCTCCCCCCCAAGCCCCCCAGGACCGGCAGTCCCCCACCTTACCTGCACCCGGGGCAGCGGCGGGGGCGAAGGCAAAGCCGCCGTCCGGTTTCGCCATGGCAAGGGAGGGCAGAACCACTCGACTTCACTGAGGTAGATGAGGAATGAGCACTCGGTGCCGTCCACACCAAAAAACGCATAGCAGGGGTCAGAGGTCCACCTGGCCCTCATCCACTGCAAGGGGGCAAAGAAAGACGTCAGGCTCATCCTCTGGCCGGGACGGGATGCAGCAGCCCTGCGAGCTGCCCCTGCTATGGGCAACCTCGATTCTCCATCACCTTTCCCTAGCTGGGAGCTAGAAATGAAGGGCAGAGGGTGGATAAAGGGCTGCAAACCAGCGTGCACCCACCCAGCACCAGTGTCGCGGTGCCCATGTTTGCGTGCCCGGTGCCTCCAGGGCAGAGGAAGAGCCAGGAGGGTTTGCTGGCGGCTCCCTGGGTTCCGAGCACTGGTTCCAGCACCAACACATGCCTCCCTCAGGGGCACAAAGTTTTCTTCTCGTTAGCTTTGCTGGGGAGCAAGCCGAGCTGCTGATTTCATTGCCCCGGGCACAGCGGGGCAAGGAAACAGATCCACCGGCGGTCCCCAAGGATGATTTCACATGAAGGAAAAGCGATTTATCATCCCCCACAACAGCTCGGGCCAGCCTCTTCCTAACTCAACTACAAAAACAAATCTACTTGGAAGACAGGTTGCTGCACCCAATATGTAAAATGCAGTGATCACCCGGACAGGAGATGGAATTACAGCCTGCCGCAATTAAATTACATTCTGAATTTACTCAAATCGTGGAAGGAAAGGATGCCTAGCACCAGGGGAAGTGGAAAATACAACCCCCCAGCACCATTTTAATATACCCTTCAACATCTTTTCAGGGAGAGTCAGCCCTGCAGAAGGCTGAGCTTGAAGCAGGAGGCTGGGAAGGGGAGGAAAGAGGGAGATGCTTTTAATTAGTTCATGTAAATATGCTCTCTGACGAAACAATCATGCTCTGAGCCAGATTCAGGCTGCATTCAGGTGTAAAGAGCAGGTTGGGTCAAGCAGGACATCCTGTTTGAGATGGAGGTCCTGGCCACCTTAACAAGATGTTCTTCTGTGCATTGCTAAGATTATCCCCCAGACAGGAGCTAACGCTCGTGTTATTTAAAGCCGGTGCGACCGTGCTTTCTCCTCACCGCGCTTCTATCATTAAACACAGCAACCACAGGCGGGGGGGGCTGCAGGCGGAGGTGGTCTCACATCCTGCTGCTGCCTGCACGGCTCTGGGTACCGTGGCTTCAGTGCTTCGTACGACTCAAACTGAAGGTAGATGCCTTATTGTTGGGGAAAATACAGTTACATTCATACAGCAAAGGCTCCCAGAGAGGTCGGACACCTGCCGTGTGTTTTCTCCTCGCAACACAGCCATGCTTTGCTTTCCACATCTTTGGCTCCACTCTTACTTCTGCAATGGGCTGCACCTTTCCCATTTTAAAGCAAACAGTTTTATTCCGGAAAGCATTCCCCTTCCCAGTTTAACCCCTGGGGTCATTGCTCCATGCCCTTCCCAGCAGCTTCCACCCCAGGTCAAGACCCTCTCCCAGACGGGGATCCCCGACTCACCTCCACTTTCCCAGCGCAATCAGGGTACTTGGGGTCCCTGGGCACCTCGCACTGGTCCCTCCTGCCTTCCATCACTGCGGAAAGACAATTTGGGCATGGGGAGCGCTGGGAAATGCCAGCGGAGCAGCTAGAAATGCTGGGATGGGATGGGATGGGATGGGATGGGATGGGATGGGGCTGCCAGCCCTCAAGCACATTCATCAGCAGCCGGGCCAGGGGACAGCCCCATCCCACTTGACGGAGCAGGACACCAAGATGTGAAGCATCTTCCCCAAGGTCAGGGAGGAAACAGAAAAAAACCCCCAGCCCTGTTTCAACACCGAGAGCACATTCCCCTTTCCTAAACCTCGGCAGGTGTCTTTATAGCACCTCCCCGCTGCTCTCAGCCTGGTCCAGGCCCCAGGTCCCACCTATCCACGCTCAGTTAATCATCCATAAGCAGGCTGCAGTATCTAAGGAAACACTCGACAGCCTTTACGCCATAAACTTGCAATAGAATTTGCCCTGCTGAGCTGTCAAGAGAAGACTCAGCCCCCAGGGTCAGCCCTAGAATAAGGCGCAGAAGTGGCTAAAAACCTAATAGGATCTTTTCTTCCTCTCTGGTTGGATTAATAAGAGACACCACCCCTCCTATAAGCCCTCCCTTGCCTATAACTGAAAAAGCATGAGGTGGAAGAGGCAATGGAAGCATCTTCTGCTTGATGATGCCAGCCCACACCCTGGGAACCATGCAACCGTGTGGAGAAACATCTGGAGAGCCCAGCTGCCCTGCCAGCACTGCCGGAGTGGGATGGGAACGTCTCTCCTGGCACTGGACCCCAGCCCCTGGGCTTTGGATCCAAACTGCCACATTTTCCTATCCAGCCGGGTCCCCCGCCCCGTGGTCTTGGGATCCAACCCGCCACATTTTCCTATCCAGGTGTTTGTGCTGGCACCGCTCCTCATCTTTAATTCTGCATTTAATTTGGTGGCATTTATTTCTCGCAGCAATTCAGATCTGTCACCGTTCCTCCCCACTGCAGGCATGAGTTTCCCAGGTCTTGCTCCTCTGCAGATTGATCACCCCGGCTCTCGAGTCCTGGGCCAAGTGAGGCAACGCTTTTAGGAGAACATTACTGCTGTTAGAGAGACCACGGAGAGTGGTTCTCTACACAACCTCCTTTTCTAGTCTTCCTGGCTGTAATAGCAAGGTGAGAGTCCTGGAAACCTCCGAGAAGGCTCAGACCGCACTCAGGACCTCCTCTCCCTCCAAAAGATGGTGTGACCCTGTGCTGCATCCGCACAGCGCTGGCCACAAACAGCCCTAGGAGGTCTGTCGGAGAGCTTCAGGTGCCCTGCTTAGTCCTGCAGACAGGAGCGAGTTGGGTAACCTCCGATCAGCATCCATTCCCCTATATTTTTACTAAACTTTTTGTAGTAGGCTTGGCTGGATTTATTTATATTGCAACTGCATAACACGTAGGAGGTTTGGAGCATGGGGACCCCCGGGGACACTCACCCTTCCCGTTCAGGAGGCTGTTCCGGAGAATCTGATCTACTTTTATTGCGATGTCGGAGACGTTTTGAGCTATAGCTTGGATCCTCTCCATCAACCCGGCTGCTGGCTGGAACCTGGGAAAAAAGACAAATTGACCCTGAAAACTTGATATCTCCCAGTGGTGACACCCAAGGGTGCTTATAGCAAACCTGCCGTCCTTGGAAGCTGCCAGCACATTGAACTTAGCTCCGGGATGCTACATGGGAACGCCTGGGCCAGCGTACTGGGCAAAGAAGTCATTGCCTTCCAAGAGGTTTGATTAAAAACCTATGTAAATCAGTATTCTGCCATTTTCCACAGTGTGCTGATAAACACAGATACACCTGTGCATTTTACACGGGGAAATATTAAATAGGCTGGAAAAAAAATTGGTTTTCTTATTTCAGATGTGCTATGTTTGAAAATTCTCTGCTGTGATTATTGGCCCTGCTGTGCATGTAGGAAGCTGTGCTAGGAAAAAAAAAAAGAGAGGGGAAAAAAAATACTGAGAAAGGAAGGCAAAACCGAAGGAGGGCTGAGGAAGCTTGCGGGCCCAAAGCAGAGCGCAGACAAATGCAAAACACGCAGGACACGTGGATGGCCTGAGCCAGCCCATCCACCAAAGACCAAGGCGAGCGGATTTCCAGGTCCCGTGGGGACAGGGTGCCGGGGCGAGCGTCAGCAGCACCACATGAGCCGGGGTTGAGCCGGGCATCGCAGCCCCAGCAAAGCCCCCAGGCACCTTCCCACCAAGACCTGAGATCAAATTCCGCTGGTTTGAATAGCTGCGTGTGCTGTCTATCGAATTAAACCTCGCAATCGATACCATCCTGGGTAAACGTTAAACTCATCTACATAACACATTGTGTAGACGGGGAGACAGAGCACTGTAGAGAGGCTGGGTGTCAATTAAAACCCGGTGTAATATAGAAAAGGGCAAGAGAACTCAATCCATCAGCAGCAGCAGGAGCAAGCTCTCCACCTCCAACGCCTCGCCTGCCGTTTCCACTGCAAACAACAACCACGTCTCGATGAGAGTGATTATCGCAGTAAATAATTTCCCCTTCTGCAGCATCTGGGTCATAAGTTTTTCCTCCTGCTGCTGCCAAGATCATTATAATACAAGGAAATGTCATAAGCAGTGAGCAAAACCAAAAGGGCTACCTTGAATACTCTTGGCACAAAAAATATGTGCTGATGTCAGGTCCTTCCCGGTGAAGTTTTATGTTTGTTCTCCAGCAGACCAGTGAACCCAAAGGCTGGGATTTAAAGTACCTCTGTCCTCAAGGCTAAAAAAATCCTAGTTTTATGAACCGATACTGTTTCGGTTGTTGATTTAAAGTCCATTCGCTAGCAGTGAGCAGCCCACATTTTTCCTCTTGGCATGGTTTACGACCATCAATATTCAGCCTGCATACCTCCACAGGGAGCCACATATCTTAGGCTTTTAAGAAATCATAATTAAATGCAGAGGACATCATTGCCCCCAAGTAACTTTCAACCTTTGCAGAGAATAAACCCCAGGTATCCTGCCAGCTACTGTAACCGCTGCAGCAGGGAGGTTGCTCACAAGGCCCTGGTAAAATATGGGCACAAAAATGACCTGCAGTAAGCTCTGCTCATCAGCCTGGCTCTGAGGAGATAAAATGCTCCCTGTCTGAGGGCTACACAGCTCAGCCAGCCCTGGAGGCTCACAAACCCCCCATTTCTGCAACCCTTCTTCCACCGGCAAGCAGCCGTCAGACCACGCAAGAGATGCACAGGTGCTCAGTAAACAGGGAACAGCTGGGATGGACAGTTGAGGAGCAAACATCGCAAGGATGCAGTGAATTTAGAGCCAGTGAGCCCAATGTCCTGCTCCAACAACAGGAGAGGGACATTGGCTTGCTGGAGATGCTCCTCAGGTTTCTCCATCACTCATGGTAAGGAGAGAGGACGACCACAGCCACGGCAGCCCTGCTCCCATGCTTCAGAGCACCTAGATTAACCCACGATCCAACTTCTGCCTCCTCCCAGAAGCTATCCTGATCCTCACTTGGGTCCAAACCCACGCCCAAACACCCAAGTAATTAGGCGAATCTCAAAAGTCAACAGCAAACTCGGTCCTCATCTCCTCTCTGATGCTCGGCCAGGGCTGAGCATCGGGCACCCATGAACACATTCCAACAAAAATCAGGATCGTTATCCTAAATAAATGGCTTTCTTCCAGGCTCAGCCTCACAGCCAGCCCAAGTCCTGCCGGAGCTCTGGCCACAGCAGCGGTTTCCACCGGGTGATGGACCTGGCCCAGCATCTATGCCAGCTTGCCCAGCTCTTGTAAGCTACAGCTGCTCCCCAAACACAAAGATTTCAACTCAGAGCCCTTTGATGTAAAACATACGTCTGATCATCTCACTCCGGTTCTCGCAAACAAGACAGCCACGTTGCACGGCCGTCGCAAAGCTTTCCCCGAAGCGCAGAGGATTACTGCAAAGTGACACCAAAAAAAAATGTCCACCATGGCATCTGTTAAGAAGATGGAAAAATAGTAGAAAACGTCCTTCCAAAATAAGGAGCCAGGCTCAAATCTCCCACCGCTTGCATGCTCATCACCCTTACTCGTCAAACTAGTTTTCTCCCAATCCCCCCAACTTTGAGCAAGGGATTTCACGCTGGGGGTGAAGAGCGCAGCTCCCACGGCAGGAGCACTGGTGGGCCTCGGTGTCAGCACCGACACGGGCAGCGCCGAGTCAGCCGCCTCTGTGTTTTTATCTGCTGGGCAACAAGGCTATCACTGGAGCAGCAAATTCCATTTAATATATTAAAGAGATGACAAGAAGGTTAAGCGTAAGTTACATCACCTATCGTTACAGTCATTTGTCACCTGGGCAGAGGACAAGAAAATAAGACATATAAAGCAAAACCTCAAACGCAAAAAGGTTTTCTGTAGCTCGTCAGAATTCGATGCCTTATTCTTAATAACTGGAGACACTGGGAAGGACAAGGTAAGTGGCTTATTCTGCTCAGGGACAGCTGAACAGATGGGGAATATCCCACCCCGTGTCTCTCTCCGTGCTGGGATGCCAGCACGGCCTCCGCCAGCCCAGCAGAAAGAAGATCTCCCTTCCAGCACTACCACTGCACAGGGAGTAGCGACGGGCTGGCTTTTTTTTTTTTTTTTTTTCTTTCCTTGTTGCTTTTTAAATTTTTCTATAGCAACAATATAAATGCCACCAAAACGCGCTGGGGCTGTGCCAGCTATTGAAACTCTAGTAAATTACTACAGGTTTTCTAGAACAAATTTTTCCCTGGGACCTTAAAACCGTTTACTACAGCAAATACAGTACTTTTACTTCGAACCATCAATATTGATTTCGTCTTTATTATTTTCAGATTTATATTTCCCCATGTTGATTAAGATTCGGATCACACCATGCCTTATAATGCATTGTATACAGTATTCATCTCGTTTCAAAAACTTCTATTAAGATCTATCTTTCCCCACTGGCAGATCATTTGCCATATAATATAGCCAGAGGTTGAGTTTTCCTTTACTTTTTTATGCATTAATTTGGTTCCCTTCACTTTGTCTCTTGTCCCCAACCCCATAGCAGCAGCTTAGCTTCAGCCTGTTTATCCCTTTACAAGGCATTGTATTTTTATTGCCTTTTATAAAAGTGGCATTATGAAAAGATGAATCTCTTTCTATTTGTGTATTGTCCTCATAATACAAGACCTAAACATATTTGCTTGCTCATCTGATATTTCTTGCTAGTAACTGGTGAAAGCAGTGACTTTGGGAAGACCAATACAGATGGAGAAAAGCAGATGTTTGGAAGATAATACATCAACCAATGCAACACTCGCGCAGAGAAGTTTACCAAAGGATTTCAACTTGCTCATTACAACGTCTGCACTGACCTTTGCCTCTTTGAAGATTTATGATATTTTTTTGCCCAAAGACCCTAGGCAGAGCAGAACGCAGCTGGGAAGGGTGCTCAGGGCTGGTGCTGGGCTCTCGCTGCTTCCCCACTCTGGGGACACAAATGACTCCCCAATGTCCAGCCCCACGACAGCCTCGCTTCTCCAGGACAGGGAGCTGAAATCCCAGAGGCAGCACCGATGGATAAACCTTCCCGGCAATAGCAAGAGGGGCTTTCCCATCCTCCTGGCTCCAGCTGCAGCTTTTGAGGTGCTGCCCATTAAAATAGCTGGGATATCTCCTGGAGAAACGATTGCTGGGATCACTCCATGGGCTCAGGCTCCTCTTCCCATCCATCCGTCCATCCATCCACCCCAGTGTGACAGCCAGTGGAGGACACACCAAGGGGTCCCCAGGGATGTGGGGAAAAGCCCTCATCCAAGTGCTGAATAACTAAAAGAAGGTGATTTAAATTCCTGAGAAGATGGAGCAATTAAGAGCTTTGCTCCTCTGGGATAAGACAATCCAAGTAAACCTCACCGATGCTGGAGGCAAAACTTTTTTGGGGGATCCATGCCCTTGTGTGCATCTCTGCATCCTCTCCGAGATGGCTTGCACCCGAAAGGCTGGGAGCCAAAGCTGCCCATGGGGGAGAGAGCAAGGACACGGATGTGGACACAAAGGGGTTACTGGGTGCCTGATGCTCTCCCTAAAATTTGAGTCACAGTCTCCTGACACCGATGCTCCCAACATGGGGTGTAGCAGGAGAGGCAGTGGTGGCCGGGCAGCTGCCCTGCTCAGGAGGCTCAGCTGTGTGGTTTGTGCTTATTTGACTTGTAAACCTGGTTTTAATCCTCATAACTCTGCTGCTGGAGTTATTACCAAGCTTTGATAAACAACTTTGGCTTGGTTTGAGCTGGTGGTCCATGCCGGGGAGGGTAGCACGCAGGGTGCTGTGATGGGGAACGCAGTGAGGGTCCCGTGCTCTGCTCCGCTTGGGAAAGGTTCAGACCCCCAGGGAGCAGAGCAAAAGCCCAAAGACTCAGTTGCTACCAGCTTGGCAAAAAATTATAGCATCATTAGGAGGAGGAAAAAAAAAAAAGTGCTGGGGCTGAGGGATGGGACTCGCTGCTTTGCTACCCCCAGCAAGGGCTCTGCCAGGTTGTTCAGCTCCTCGGTGCCTTTCC